CAGCCAGATGCCTGTCTAATCTCCTCTTGAACACCTCCAACGTAGGGCAAAGCACCACCTCCCTTGGAAGCCTATTCCATATTTTGGCAACCCTTACCATAAATAATTTCTTCTTTATGTCCAATCTAAATCTACTCTCCTTCAGTTTGTACCCATTATTTCTGGTAACCCCGAGGGGCGCCCTGGTAAACAGAGTGTTCCCTATTCCCTCCTGACCCCCCCGATGAGTTTGTAGGCAGTCACAAGATTGCCTCTCAGCCTTCTCTTGCGGAGGCTAAAGAGATTCAGGTCCCTTAGTCTGCTTTCATAGGGGCTTACCTGCAGGCCCTCAACCATATGAGTGGCCCTCCTCTGAACCGTCTCAAAGTTATCCACATCCCTCCTGAAGTGCGGTGCCCAAAACTGGACACACACCCAATCAGCCAGTTTGAACCAAGGCTTCTGTTGTCATTTCTGATGCCAGTGTTAGTGCCGCGGACTGGCAGCCTCCAAGACTGTCAGATGCAGGTGCACAAGGAGAGGCAGGGCTTGGGTACTGAGCTGGTATCTTTGTCCCTGCTGCGTAAGCAGGGCAAGACCTCCATTCCTGGGAGAAAAGAGGGTTTAAGCTACTTCTTATGGAATAAGGAGGTCAGTTCTGGGAATTGTGTCTGGCCAAGCATGTGATCTCCCTTGCCGTGGTGCGGAGGTGGCCCTTCACAGTCTCATACCCATGCATTTCTTTGCCAGTAGTGATATTAAGCATCATTTATTGTCTCCTGAGGCACTGGCTAGCTAGGACTTAGAAGTGGCTAGGCCCACTATGGAAGCTGATGACTCTTCTTCAGGATCTGAAGTTCCTCTCATCAAATGCTTGGGAAGGCAGTAGTGCAAACAAATGTCCCTGGGTGGCCATCAAGCAGCTGGCTGGCATATGGCTCTCACCATGACAAAAAAAGGGAGCAGCTTGGGCCACAGGAGTTGCAAGATATACAGGGTTTGAAGCTGCTATTTCAGATGAATGTACCGGAGGGAAAATATTGAGGACAAATTACATTTAACGCTACTTTTTGAGGGGGAAAATGATATGAAGAGGACGTAACTTGTATGAAGTTAATCCTCACTAACTAAAGGAAATTGCAATAAGATGAAGGTTTGCTTAAGTATGGGACAACACTGGCTGTACCTTGCTGTGACAGGCAGTGAGCCAGGTCCCTCTGCATTTTGTGCTCTGTGGGGAGAGGACAAGTAGGAGGACGTGACTGGAGCAGCCACCATTCAGCTGATGCCACTGTTCAAAGACTTACACTTGCATACAGCCAGCCATTTGAGTGTGCTACAGGTGTCTTGCACAATCTTTCACGCTAATTATACACATGTAAAATACCTAATGTCTGGGTTCAAAGCTAGTTCCAGCCTCCTCTGCTCTGAGATGAACTGGCACCTGATTACACAAGGCATGGACAAATGTGACTGCTGCGTGTTGTGGGTAGGCGCTGCCCGCCAGGAAGAGCCCATTGCCCTTCCCAGGGACCATTAGTGTGTGCTGCACAAATGTCTCATAATGCACTTCCCCCTGGGGTGCTGCAGCTCTGGCTGGGTGCCCCGTTCGTCTCTGCATGGTCCAGGCACTTGGAGCAGTGGCTTGGCATCTACCACTGATACAAGCTATCCTGGCTTCTAACATTAGAAACCTGAGAATGGCAGCTGCCAGTTTGTTGCTAGTTAGGCTCTGCAGCAGTTTCACAACAGGTACAATCAGAGCTGTCACCCCTCATGCGTCAGCTCCACAGTGCCCACAGCCCTGTCACCCCACAGAACAGCATGCACGTAAGCAAGCATGATATGCTGTGACAGAAGGTTTCTATCGCACGACAGATCAGTCAACGTGCGTTTGCCTCATTTGATGCAGGTCTCCCTGGTCCCCATGGTCAGCTGGGGCAATCTTCAGATGACAACCACCCCTGTCCCTGCAAAGCCAGAAACTGGGGAGCCACGCCTCACTACCAGGACCACGCAAAAGTGCCCAGACCATTGTCCCTCCAAGCCCCTGGTGTTGGATTTGGGGCCAGGTGTCAGGAAGCACTTCAGAAAGGCATTAAGCCAGCTCCGTGAGGGTCAGCACACCATCCACCCTCTCCCCAGCCCAGAGTTTACACTGACACCCCTCCCCACCCTACCCGAGCGCCTCCCACATAAAACCAATAGCCACAAAGACCCTATGGGCCTCCATGGAGCCTTTGCCCCATCTCCCTTCTTGGGAGAGGAGATGGGCCAAGTAGCCCAGATGCAGCAGCAGCTTCTAGCCCAACTCAATCCTCACCTTGCCCTTGCAGGCTGCACATGACACTGTCTGCAAAGGAGCAAGCTAGCAGAGCAGAACAGAACAGAGCTGAGCACTCCTCCAGCTTGTTAATCAGGAGCAAAGGGCCCCAGCTGGACGTGTTCAGGCATCTGTAGCAGAGCTCAGTTAGATGAGGTGGGTGGATGTTCCCGCCAAGCTCATTAGAGACCATTCTTCCTTTCCCCGAGTCTTTCTTGGAGGGTGGATGGTAGCACGATCAGAACAGAGTTGGCTCACGACTCTTGGGTCCTACACCCAGCTGTGCCACGGACCAGCCGCACGGTCTGGCTGGGTCACCGATCCTCTCTGCGTTCATGCCCCCAGTGGCAGAGTGGAGCTAGCAGCCACAGGCCACACAGGGAGTAGCCTGTTAGGATACTGCCTCCCATGTGGCCATACAAAGCCGAGCAGGATGGGATCAGTCCAACAGTCTTGTCCTTGAGCGGGGCAGCTCAGGGAATAGCTTTCCCAGGTAAAACTCCCTTTGCAAGCCTTTTGCCTGCCCCTGCCCCAGCCCCTGCCCCCACACCCTCCGGAGAGATTCCAGCTTCCCCTGGGTGGGGCCAGTGCACTCAGGCCTTGCAGGCAAGACCCCAGGATTTCAGGACACGGGGGGGCATATGAATCTCCTAGCCCAGGGCCAAAGATGAAAGGAGGATGAAATCCCCCTTCTCTGTCCAAAGAGAACCCAGACAGGCACAGACTCTCCAGCACACTGTGCCGCAAGCAGCAAGAACCAGGTGACACACAAACTCTCCTGGCACTTCCCGCTCTGCCGCCAGGGAGCTGGAGCATAAGTGCATCTGGAGCAGGCCTTGATTAGCATCATCATTTTCATTTCTAATGTAATTAGCATTCCCCATGTGGCTCCATAGCCTGCAGGGCTCCCTTGTTAGCGGAGGGCTCCATCTGGTAGCCCAGCCCACCTGGCAGCACGTGGGTGCATCAGTAAGGGCCCTGCCCTGGGTCACACTGCATAGCCTGGAAAGTGCTTACACCTCTCCCGGTTAGCTGGGCCTGAGCCACAGAAGAGGCAGTTCTGCGTTGAAGAGCTGCTGCTGCTTTGCAGTCCACAAGCGAACTTCCCCTGGGAACCACTCAGAGCTCCTGACTTTAGCAACGCAGGGAAGAACGTATTCTGTTTAGGTCGAGAGTCAGTGCAATGTCAGAGGAAGGGAGCTGAGGCTTCTTTCCTTCTGCCGTCCACCCACCTGAGTGACACAGCTGCTCTGCCGGGCTGCAGCCTAGAGACTGGAAGACACTAAACACTTAAAAGGGGTCTCCAGATAGGAGGCGGACACAGAGAGGGTCTGCAGAGGAAGGCTGGAGAAGCTGGGTGGGATACAGCTGCACAAGATGGCACAGATAAGCTGTGCGGAGAGATGCACTGCCCAGGCAGTAAGCTGAATCTGAGCCAGCAGTGTGCCCTTGTTGTCAGGAAGACTACCGGCATCCTGGGCTGCACTGGTAGGAGCGTTGCCAGCAGATTGAGGTCAGTGATTCTTCCCCTCTATTCTGCACTGGGGAGGCCACATCTGGAGTCCTGTGTCCAGTTGTGGGCCCCCCACTACAGAAAGGATGTGGACAAATTGGAGAGAGTCCAGTGGAGAGCAACAAAAATGGTTCGGGGGCTGCGGAACATAACTTGTGAGGAGAGGCTGAGGGAACTTGGTTTGTGATTAGTCTGGAGAAGAGAAGACTGAGGGGGATTTAATAGCAGCCTTCAACTGCCTGATGGGGCACTCAAAAGAGGATGGAGCTGGACTGTTCTCAGTGGGGGCAGAGGATGGAACAAGGAGCAATGGGCTCCCATTGCAGCAAGGGATGTTTCAGTTCGATATTAGGAAGAATTTTCTCACGAGGAGGGTGGTGAAGCACTGGAACAGGTTACCCAGAGAGGTGATGGACTCTCCATCCTTGGAGGTTTTCAAAACCTAGGTAGACAGAGTCTTGCCTGGGATGATGTAGTTGGGACTGGTCCTGCTTTGAGCTGCCTACAAACTCATCAGGGGGGATCAACAGCAAATAGGAAGATCCCTTTTCTCCCCAGCACCGCCTGGGGTGACGAGGAACAATGGTAATAAGTTGATGGAGAATAGGTTTAGGTTAGAGATTAGAAGGCAATATTTTACTGTTAGGGTGGCCAAAATCTGGAACCAATTTCCCAGGGAAGTGGTCCTCGCCCCTACCTTGGGCAAATTCAAGAGGAGGTTGGATGATCACCTGTCTGGGGTCTTGTGAACCCAGCATTCATTCCTGCCTGTGGCAGGGGGTCAGGCTAGATGATCTGTTCAGGTCCCTCCTGACCCTAGCTACATGAAACTATGAAACAGGGGTTGGACTAGATGTGACCTCCTGAGGTCCCTTCAACCCTCATTTTCTGTGATTCTATACTTCAGGAGGAGCTGGCCCAGGGGTGCAGGCCTGCCAAGGGGATCCTGGGGAAGCACAGGGACCTGGTGCCCGACCTGAGATCAGGGGAAGCCCACCACACATGAGAACATGTGACAGCTGCGTGCCCCCACTTAGACCAGAGCCCTGATTCCCATAGAGACAGCAGTGTGCTCCCTTCCCCACAGCTGCTGGAGCCCCAGTGGCTGAGCCAGCCTGTTTCGCCTGCCTAGCCACCCTCCGGTGCTACCTGCAGATGCTCAGCAATGCAAGGCTTCGGCATGGATAAAATTCCACTTGTTGGTTTATTTGAGGTGCTACGTCACCTCCTAGGCACTGAGCTACAGGGCACCCGATGTGCTACATGAGACACAGACTGGGTCTACAACGACACAGCGCTCACTATGAGCATATAGCCCCTCTCCTCCTCTCTCCTCACTGTGCGGCACACGATACAGCTGCAAAAGGACGGCACAGACACCCAAACTGGACAACAGGCAGCTTAGGCCAGCAAGGGCAGGATGCCAGCTTGCCTCTGCCGAGGACTGTCCCTCCCTGCTCCATTGAGGGGGTGGATGGAGCCGATTCTCCCCCCTTCCCAGGCAAGACAGAGCCAGCGCCCACCACCGAGCTACTCTAGACTTGAAGAAGCTGAAATTAGTTTTCTAAACAGTGAAAGAAAACGTCACTGCTCCGGTGCCCGCCACAGCAACTACAGCTTTTGCTCCCCGCCGCCGTCTTCAGGCACTTGGTCCTCAGGCCTGCTGCTGGATCCTTGGTGGTGGGAGCTGCTGTCAGGCCCCCTCCCGCAGGCACAGTGCCTCCACAGCGCTGCTGGGCCCCTGCGCCACCCCACCGATCACAAAGAGCAGGTTTTGTGCCTGGAAGCTGGAGCAGGAACAGCGGCCCGTGGGCATGGGTGGCAGCGGCTCCCACTTCTTCCTGCTCAAGCTAAATCCTTCCACCGAGTCGAGAGGGCACGGCTGGTTCCCTGCAGGAGAACACACACACCGCTGAGCTCCTGCTCACAACGGGGGAGAGGTCCCCTCCCTCCCACCTCCCTTGGGACGCAGCATGGCTGCACTGCCCGTGGCAACCCCCGCCGCTGCAGCCCAGCCCAGCCCAGCGCCTGCACCTGGTTCGGCGGGCTCCTCCGCCCAGCAGGGGGGTGCCTGCCATTTCAGGCCGGGCCCAGATCTAAATGCCGAGTCCCACACTCTCCCAGCCCTCTGCCTCTGCTCAGGAGGTCGCTGCCCACAACAAATCGGGCGGCCATACTCTTGCCTACCCTGGCGGGATCTCAGGGTGGCTGCCGTGAAAAGCAGCAGCCTGGATGGCAGTGGGAGCCCGGCAGTGAGCCCAGCCTGCGCTGCCGAGCCCAGTCACAGGTGCTCGGCCGTGAGACGGAGGAGACTTGCACACGGGTGCCATACAGCCTGCTGCTGGGACCCACGATGCCTGCGAAGGCCCATTCCTGAGGGAGCGCTGAATGCTCCAGCTGCATACAGGCACCTCCCTCCCTGCCTCCTGCCCGTGCATAATTAAAGCCATTTGTTCTGAAGCCAGAGTAATGCTAATAACTGGAGACAAAAGCCCCCTAACAAACCCTGATGGTAACTCGTGCTGGCAGCTGGTCCCTCCTGCATTGCAGGAGACCTCCCCCACAGCTCTCTTCACTCATGGGCAACCCTAAGCAGACTCCCTGCGGCTCTCAGCCAGGGCCTGGGCCTCATAGCCCCTCCTGCCTGCCCAGGGGTGGGGGAAGGCTGCCAGGGCTCTGCCAGGGCTCCATGTCTCTGCCCAGTGTGAGCAATGCACAGGCATCTGGCTGGGAATCACCCTGGTCCCCGCAGGGCTCGGGCCCACCACACCCTCCCTCCTCTCCCCCAAGCCTGCCCACAGCTGCTCACTGGCAGCCAGAGCCAGGGAGGCACTGCTTCCCTCTGCCCACCCAGGAGCTGGCCAGAGCCCAGGTGTCTCCCACCCAGGAAATTCACTGGGCTGCATTCACTGTCCTACTGGTCCCTGCTACTCCAGCCAAGGGCGCATGCTAGCTGGGCCCTGGGGACAGCTCCTCTCTTGCCTGCACGGTTGGTCGTGCCACTGACTGACAGTGCTAACCTTTATCTGGCAGAGGTGGAGGAGCGGGCAGCCCTGCACAGCTGAGATCCTGAGCCCAGGACAACACGCAGGGCGGGGGCCTGACTCCAAATCTGGGACGTAGCCCCTGTCCAGATCCAACGAGGGGCTAACTTTGCCTGCCCTGTCCCTGCAGCCCCCATGGCCTGCGGCCTCAGGCTCCTGTCAGCGCAGCAATGCAGAGGGCCATGCCCCATAGCTTCTCAACAGCCCTTGGCGAGTCCAGGCTCTGCCATTTGGCCTGCTGCGCTCTCCCAGCACAGGTTCGTTAGCACTGCCGCTTGGCCCAGATCCGTGCAACAAGAGAGAGAGGGGAGACAGAGGAGACGTGGCGGCTGGCACCAAAGGCTGCCTGGCAGCAACTGTCCGGCACTCTCTGAGACGCACAGGCGCGAAGGGGAGCCAGCAGTCAAGTGTGGCCCCAGCTGGTAGCCGCCCGCCCCCGCCACAGAGGTAACTGACTTCCCACGACGGAGCAGGGAACTGACCCGAATGGAATCGATTTTCCCCTGTTTGCCAGGTGCTTTCCCCGTGAGCAGGCACGGCTGCGCTGTGCTGACACGGGACGATGGGCCTGTGCTGCAGGGCTCTGCAGCTGGGCTCCCAGGGCTCCACAGCAGTGTCCCCTTCACATGCCCCGGCTGGGAGCCCAGGGGGCCCAGCTGTGCCTGTCCTCGGGGCACTGTCCTGCGGTCCCGCCACCCCCACCCTTCTTGGCTCCACAGAGGTTTCACTGCCAGGTCCCAGCCTGAGAGCCCCAGCACTCACCGAGGCCACCCACCGCCACTACTCGCCCACCAAGGCAGCCTGCCACGAAGTCAGCCCTCTTGTCCCGCATGCGGATGGCGCGGCTCGGCTTCACCCAGGCACCTGCCAGGGAAGAGGCAGCGTGAGGCCCTGCGCTGCTGCGGGATGCCCTCTTCCTTCCCACAGCCTGGGGCAGGGGCAGCCCAGCTAAGCATGCTGAGGAGAGCACAGGCCTCCTCTACTCCTGCCCCCAGCCCAGGCTGAGCCCAACACCCACGTGCTCATAGCCCCAAGGCCATGCATGACCCCATCCCCAGCTCACCCTGCTCGGGGTCGAACATCTCCACGGTGTTGACGAAGTGGGGCCGGGAGTAGAAGTTGTGGGGGCCAGGCTGCTGCAAGCCCCCGAGACTGAAGAAGCAGCCCTCAACCATGGCGCAGCTGGAGAAGGCACGGCGGCTGGGCACACTGGGGAAGCGCGTCCAGCTCCTCACCTCCAGGTCAAAGGCCTCGAAGGCTGTGACGGGCAGCTTGCCCTGCCGGCCCCCTGGGGAGAGAGGAGTAGCTGAGACGGCCTGCGGGCTCTGCCAGGATCCCACATGTGCAGCCCGTGGGGCTGGGGAGCAGAGGGGGGCCCCAGGGCAGGGCAGGGGCCACACAGGTGTCAAAAGCCAGGCCGTGTGGCTGTGCCCTGGCAAAGGGCCAGCATGGGGCTCAAGGCATCGGCTGGTGCCACTCACCCAAGATGAAGATCTTGCTGCCCTGCAGAAAGGCGGAGGCCCCGTAGCAGGGGGTGGGCATGGAGGGCAGGGGCTGCCAGAGGTCCTTGGCCGGCTCAGAGACCCGTGCCAGCGCCTGCGGGGAGGTGTCGGCACCCATGCCCCCGAGCGCGTAGACCGTACCGTCTGCAAGAGGAGGGACCGTCAGGCGTGCAGCCCGGGGCAGGGTGCTGGGGAGCTGGTGGAGCTGAGCAGGCGCCCTCCCCATCTATGTGCAGCTTGGAGCCAGGCGTCCCTGGGCACCAAGCGCCAGGCCGGCTGCTCCCCTCCAGACCAGGGCAGGTGGCTCCCTGCGCCTGGCCTGCCCGGGGCCCGCTCCACCCCAGGCCCCGCTGGCCCCCGCGTGGCCCCCACCCCGTGCACACATTGAAAATAGAACAGAACGCAAGGCCATCGCATCTAATTATACTCACTCGGCGCCATCTCCCTGGAGACGCCATGGCAACCCAGCCATGCTACTGAGTGCTGCTCCCACCCGCCCGCCACTGGCTGCCACCGGGGCGTCCAGCGCCCAGCTCCCAGCTACAGCCGAGCGGCCCCGGGCCCAGCTCCGACCCGGGGCTGCGTTCAGGGAAGGCCCCGAGGCACTGTACAGTTCTGGCTCTGTCCTGGAGCCAGGCAGGATCAGGCCACTGCCCCGTGGTCGCAGGGCAAGAGCCACAGAGGCAACCTGCCTACGGCTGCACAGGGAGGCAATGGCACCCGAGCACTGACCCTAACCACTGGGTCATGCTGCCCCCGGGCACGGCAGCCAGGGCCAGTGGGGCAGGGCTGGGGGCCCGGGTGCCTTTGCTCCAGGGAGGGGACCGCAGAGCAAAGCATTGCGCCCAGCACCTGCAAGCTGTGGACAGGGACCCCAGGCCGAGCCCGCTGAGCCCCAGGCCCGCTGTGCAGCACCCCTAGCACCACTGGGCCAGGGTCAGGCCCCCCAGCAGCACCCCCACCCCATGGGCTCAGGCTCCTGGGCCAGGGAGCAGGCTCCAGGTGCTGACCCCAGGAGCAAGTCCCCACCAGGCTCCCCAGCTTCTCCCACACCGGGCTCTGCCCCTCTAGGCCGAGCACCCGCAGGTCTTGGCTGCGTAACCCGGGGGAAGTGCTCAGTTGTGCTGTCACCCGTGAGAGGCACCCTGCGCCCAGCCTGCCAAGGACTGCCCCGCTCTGCCCTGCTCCCCTCGCACCTCTCCTGATGGCGGCGATGCCCATGGACGGCTGGGCCAGCGAGGTCTTCCGCTCCCACTTGCCCTCGTCGGCATTGTAGGCTTCGACGGAGGCCAGCGGGCTCTGCCGCGAGTCCATGCCGCCCACGACCAGGACCTGCTTGCCCAGAGCCACGGCGGTGGCGCCGGCCCGTGGCGTGGGCAGCGGGGGCAGCGCC